CCGGGCACAGTAAAAAAAAAAAAAAAAAGAGTTTATCTACAGTGCTCAGTCTAGTCTCAAACTCCTGGGCTCAAGTTATCCTCCTGCCTCCTCCTGCTTCCCAAAGGTTTGAGATTACAGGTATGAGGCGCCATGTCTGGCTTTGCAAGGTCTTGAGTGCTGAGCTGAGGGACTTTGTCCTGGGAGGATTGGAGAGCCCTGGGAGGCTGTGAGGAGGAAAGTTGCAGGGTCAGCTCTGACTGAGAACCAGACACAATTCCAGGTCGTAGTAGAGGCAGCTCAGAGAAGGCACTTAGCACAGTGTGTGTGACAGAGAGAGTTGGAGGTGAAGTGAGGGGTCTCAGGGCATTCTGTTTTTTCTTTTTTGGAGATGGTGTCTGGCTCTGTCGCCCAGGCTGGAGTGCAGTGGCGCTGTGCTCACTGCAACCTCCGCCTCCCAGGTTCTAATAGTCCTCATGCCCCAGCCTCCCCAGTAGCTGGGATTACAGGCTCATGCCACCACGCCCAGCTAATTTTATTTTTTCTTTTTTTGAGATGGAGTCTCACTTTGTCACCCAGGCTGGAGTGCAGTGGCGCAATCTCAGCTCACTGCAATCTCTGCCTCCTGGGTTCAAGCGATTCCCCTGCCTCAGCCTCCCAGGTAGCTGGGACTACAGGCACATGCCACTACACCTGGCTAGTTTTTTGTATTTAGTAGAGACAGGGTTTTACCATGTTGGACACGACGGTCTCAATCTCCTGACCTTGTGACCTGCCCACCTCAGCCTCCCAAAGTGCTGGGATTGCAGGCGTGAGCCACCGGTCCCAACCCCAGCTAATTTTTTTTATTGTTTCCAGAGACAGGGATTTGCCATCTTGCCCACGTGGGTCTCAAACTCCTGGGCTCATGTGATCCTCCCACCTCAGCATCCCAAAGTGCTGGGATTACAGGCATGAGTCACTACACCTGGCCCTAAACATGTGATTTGTTGAATAATGGGACATGCAGCAGCAGAGGTGGGCAGGGCTTCGAATGCCAGGCTGAGGGGCTGGGACCTGTCCTTCTTGGAGACTCTGAGGAGCTGGGGGACTATAAGCAGGGAAGGGACGGTATAAGACTGGGGCAGGGCTGGGCATGGTGGCTCACACCTGTAATCCCAGAACTTTTGGAGGCTGAGGCGGGCGGATCACCTGAGGTCAGGAGTTCGAGCCCAGCCTGGCCAACATGGTGAAACTCTGTCTCTACTAAAAATACAAAAATTAGCTGGGTGTGGTGGCAGGCGCCTGTAATCCCAGCTACTGTACTCGGGAGGCTGAGGCAGGAGAATCTCTTGAACCCGGGAGGCGCAGGTTGCAGTGAGCCCAGGTCGTGTCACTGCACTCCAGCCTGAGGACAGGAGTGAGACTTTGTCTCAAAAAAAGACTGGGGCATGAGAAAGCTTGTAAGAAACTGTCAGAGAAGATAGAGAGCAGGCCTAGGCCACCCGGCATGCCCCCTTCGGGCCCCCAGGCGGACCAGGGTCTCCTCTCCCCTCAGAGCGGGAAGCTGAGCCGAGAACTGGACTTCGTCAGCCACCACGTCCGCACCAAGCTGGATGAGCTCAAGCGACAGGAGGTGTCGCGGCTGCGGATGCTGCTCAAGGCCAAGATGGACGCCCAGCAGGAGCCCAGTGAGCAGGGGCAGGGCGGGAGGGGCAGGCAGGGAGGGGTGGGGGGGTGTCCTCGCTCCCAGCCTCCGGGTGGTGGTGTGCTAGGCAGGCGAGGCCTCCCTCCCTGCTGTGAAATGTGCATGGGAGATTGCCGCAGTGTTCCTCCTGGCATGACTTGATACTAACACTGCAATGTTGTTTGTTTATATTCTGCTTCCATTTGTTGTTTTTATTTTTTAATTATTTATTTATTTTTTACAGACGGGGTTTCACCATATTGGTCAGGCTGGTCTCAAACTCCTGACCTCAGGTGATCCGCCCGCCTCAGCCTCCCAAAAGTGCTGGGATTACAGGCGTGAGCCACCACACCCAGCTTGTTGTTTTTAAAAATTCTTATATGGCTCATGCCTGTAATCTCAGCACTTTGGGAGGCTGAGGCGGGCGGAACACCTGAGCTCAGGAGTTTTAGACCAGCCTGACCAACATGGCAAAACCTCATTCCTACTAAAAATACATCGTAATAGTAAATAATAAAAGTCATTATCATGGCCAGGTGCAGTGGCTCATGCCTCTAATCCCAGCACTTTGGGAGGCCGAGGCGGGCAGATCACCTGAGGTCAGGAGTTTGAGACCAGCCTGATCCACATGGCAAAACCCCATCTCTACTAGGAATACAAAATTAGCTGGGTGTGGTGGCGCGTGCCTGTAATCCCAGCTACTCGGGAGGCCGAGGTGGGAGAATCGCTTGAAACCAGGAGGCGTAGGTTGCAGTGAGCCAAGACTGTGCCATTGCACTGCAGCCTGGGAGACACTGTCTCCAAAAAAAAAAATCATTATGGCCAGGCACAGTGGCTCATGCCTGTAATCCCAACACTGTGGGAAGCCAAGGCGGGTGGATCACTTGAGGTCCAGCATTCAAGACCGGCCTGGCCAACATGGTGAAAGCCTGTCTCTACCGAAAACATAAAAATTAGCCAGGTGTGGTGGCCACGCCTGTAATCCCAACTACTTGTGTGGCTGAGGCAGGAGAATTGCTTAAGCCCAGGAGGTAGTGGTTATAGTGAGCTGAGATCATGCCACTGCACTCCAGCCTGGGCAATAGAGCAAGACTCTGTCTCAAAAAAAAAGTCACTATCATAATTCATAATTAGCCAGACTCGGGGACTCGGGCTGATAGTCCCAGCTACCTGTGAGGCTGAGGCAGGATGATCCCTTGAGCCGTATCAGCCCGGCCCCACCCTTTCCCTGTGCACCCTGGCCCTCTTGTATCAGCATTGTTAGAAATTGCTGGAGGGCAGCCTCGAGACCTTTGCCTGTTCACCCCGCTGTCCTGTGACATTCCTTCTCGGGGCTCTTTGCCTGGTCCGTGGAGCTTCCGTCTCGGCTGGAGTATCACCTCCTCAGCGAGCCCCCCGACCCCCCGCCCCAGCCGTCCTGCGTGAAGGAGCCTCCATTTATTTGTGTCCTTGGTATTCTTTTGTCCACCCCTTGGTCACTTATTCTGTCTCTCCAGACTGGGTCCTCAAGAGGCAGAAGGCTTTGGTTTTTATTGTTGTTGTTTTTGAGATGGAGCTTCACTCTGTCACCCAGGCTGGAGTGCAGTGGCGCAATCTCAACTCACTGCAACCTCCGCCTCCTGGGTTCAAGCGATTCTCCTGCCTCAGCCTCCCGAGTAGCTGGGACTACAGGCATCTGCCACCCCACCTGGTTAATTTTTATATTTTTAGTAGAGACAGAGTGTCACCGTGTTGGCCAGGCTGGTCTTGAACTCCTGACCTCAGGTGATCTGCCTGTCTTGGCGTCCCAAAGTGCTGGGATTACAGGCATGAGCCACCACACCCGGACTTCAAGAGGCAGGATTCTGTCACCATCTGATTCCTGCTGTGACCACAGCACCCAGCACTGGGTCAGCCTGGAGTAGCGGCTCAACACACATTCCTGGCACAAATAATGAATTTGAGATTCAGCCTGTACATGTGTCCTGCACGCCTATTGCACTTCTGGGCTCAGCCAGGGTTAGAGATGTGTCCACTGCAGCCTGGGTCTCCCAGATTCTAGCTCTGTGTGTGTGTGTGTGGTCTTTCCTCCCACCTGACCAAGGGCCGCTTGAGGGCGGGGCTGGGCTGATTCATTCTGGGTCCAGCATGGCACAGCGCAGGCCTGGGTCCCCAGAGGCCAGGGGAGACGTGTGCAGTGAATAAGTGGGTGTTGACAGCGTATGTGCTGTCCCTTCCTGCCTGGAAACGCTACCCCTTCCTGACCGCTCGGAAAATCCCATACGAGCCAGGCTGCATGTGTTTGCTGAGGCCACTGTAGCCAAGTCCCCCAGGCCCGGTGCTTCAACAATAGAACTTGCCTGGCTCAGGGACTGCAGGCCAGAGTCCAGGCCAAGGAGTTGGCAGCGCTGGGTGAGAGAGGGTCTGCTCCAGGCCCCACTCCTTGGCTTACAGACGGCTGTCTTCTCCCTCTGTCTTCACACCATCTTCCCTCTCTGTATGCCTGGCCCACATTTCTCCTTTTATTGTAATTTTTGGTTTATAAATTATTATTATTATTTATTTGGGTGTATTTTTTGAGAAGGAGTTTCGCTCTTGTCTCCCAGGCTGGAGTGCAGTGCCGGGATCTCAGCTCACTGCAACCTCTGCTTTCCGGGTTCAAGTGATTCTCCTGCCTCGGCCTCCCGAGTAGCTGGGATTACAAGCATGGTCTTGTTTTGTGTTTTTGGTAGAGATGGAGGTCCCCCACGTTAGTCAGGTTGGTCTCGAACTCCTGACCTCAGGTGATCTACCTGTCTTGGCCCCTCAAAGTGCTGGGATTATAGGTGTGAGCCACCACACCCGGCCCATTATTTTTTTTGAAATACGGTTTCACTTCCATCACCCAGGCTGTAGTGCAGTGGCACGATCTCAGATCACTGCAACCTCCGCCTCACAGGCTCAAATGATTCTCCTGCCTCAGCCTCCCGAGTAGCTGGGACTACAGGCACACGCCACTGCATGTAGCTAATTTCTGTATTTTTTGTAGAAATGGGGTTGCGCCATGTTGTCCAGGCTGGTCTCAAATGCCTGAGCTCAAGCGATCCTCCCATCTCAGCCTCCCAAAGTGCCGGGATTACAGGCATGAGCCGCTGCGCCCGGCCATAAATTTCTCCTTTTTATAACGACATCAGTCATGTTGGATTACGGCCCACAGTAAAGTAACGAAGTAACGACCTCATCTTTTTTTTTTTTTAGATGGAGTCTCACTTTATCGCCAGGTTGGAGTGCAGTGGCACGATCTCGGCTCACTGCAACCTCCGCCTCCCAGGTTCAAGTGATTCTCCTGCCTCAGCCTCCCAAGTAGCTGGGACTAAAGGCCTGCGTGAAGGAGGCCATACCCAGCTAATTTTTGCATTTTTAGTAGAGATGGGTTTTCCCTATGTTGGGCAGGATGGTCTTGATCTCTTCACCTCCTGATCTGCCCGCCTCGGCCTCCCAAAGTGCTGGGATTACAGGCATGAGCCACTGACCTCACGAGCCACTGACGGCACAATGATCTCATCTTAACCTGATTCCCTCTGCAAAGGCCTAGTCTCCAAATCAGGTCACATTTTGAGGTAATGGGGCTTAGGATTTCAACATAGGAAGTTAGGAGCACACAATGTAACCCCTAAGACTGGTTGATGCTTTACCAAAAATTCTGGAGTTTGTTTTTTTTTTTTTGAGATGGAGTTTCGCTCTTGTTACCCAGGCTGGAGTGCAATGGCGCGATCTCGGCTCACCGCAACCTCCGCCTCCTGGGTTCAGGCAATTCTCCTGCCTCAGCCTCCTGAGTAGCTGGGATTACAGGCACGCGCCACCATGCCCAGCTAATTTTTTGTATTTTTAGTAGAGACGGGGTTTCACCATGTTGACCAGGATGGTCTCGATCTCTTGACCTCGTGATCCACCTGCCTCGGCCTCCCAAAGTGCTGGGATTACAGGGTTGAGCCACCGCGCCTGGCTTTTGTTTGTTTTTTTTAAAGAGTGGTTGTGGCTGGCCGGGTGGCTTGCGCCTGTAATCCCAGCACTTTGGGAGGTGTAGATCACCTGAGGTCAGAAGTTCAAGAACAGCCTGGCCAACATGGTGAAACCCCATCTCTACTGAAAATACAAAAATTAGCCAGGTGTGATAGCACACACCTGTAGTCCCAGCTATTCAGGGGATTGAGGCAGGAGGATTGCTTAAGCCCGGGAGGTGGAGGTTGCAGTAGGCTGAGATCGCACCACTGCTCTCCAGCCTGGGTGATGAGAGTGAAATCCTGTCCCCCAAAAAAGAAAAAGAAGAAGGAAAAAAAAAGGAAATGGTGGCGGGTCATGGTTTCGGGTATCCAATGACCAGTTCCCATCCTTGCTCCGCCACTTGCTAGCTGGTAGCTTAGACAAGCCACAATCCCTCAAGGGGACTTAGTGTTACCATTCATAAAATAGGGATAATCATAGACCCATGCTGTCAGGTTTTTATGGAAAGTAAATAAATTAATACAATTAAAGTGTTTAGGGCATGGCCTGGCATACAGTAAGTATGCAGTACATGTTAGTTTTTATTATAAGCATCAGAGTCAGTCGTGGGATCACCTCCTCCAGGAAGCCCTCCTTGATTGCCCCAGGCTCAACCTGTCTTCTGGGCTTCCCTAGTGCCCTCTGTGACTTCTTTACAGCACGTCTGGCCCAAGATGGGGGTTTTGAAAGAACACTCCCTGAGGTTTGGACTCTTCCCTGTCTTCCAGATGTACAGGTGGATCACCTGAATCTCCTGAAGCAGTTTGAACACCTGGACCCTCAGAACCAGCATACATTCGAGGCCCGTGACCTGGAGCTGCTGATTCAGACGGTAATGGGAGTGGGTCCAGAGGCAGAGGATTGAGGGAAACTTTGCAGAAAGGGAGAAAGAGACAGTGTCTTGGATGTGAGCCGGCTTGCCGGGCCCGCTAGTGGTCTCTGAAGTTGGAGGCTGGCAAGAGGCTAGGTGGGTTTTTTGTTGTTGTTAAGACAGAGTCTCACTGTGTGTCCCAGGATGGAGTGCAGTAGCAGGATCTTGGCTCACTGCAACCTCCAACTCTAGGTTCAAGTGATTCTCCTGCCTCAGCCTCCCGAGTAGCTGGAATTATAAGCACGTGCCACCACACGTGGCTAATTTTTGTATCTTTAGTAGAAACAGGGTTTTACCATGTTGGAGGTTTGACTCAGGAGGCTGAGGCAGGAGAATCGCTTGAACCTGGGAGGCAGAGGTTGCAGTGGGCCGAGATCACGCCGCTGTACTCCAGCCTGGACGACAGAATGAGACTCTGTCTCAAAAAATAAAAAGGGGTGGGGGGACACATCAGGAAAGAGACATAGGACAGTTAGAGGTTGGGGCTGCCCCTGCCAGGTTCAGGGCCAAGGGCCTGCCATTTCCAGGCGGGAATCGGGGGCAGGGCATAGCGGGGAGAGGGCAGTGACCCTGTGCCTTTCCCCAGGCCACCCGGGACCTTGCCCAGTATGACGCAGCCCATCATGAAGAGTTCAAGCGCTATGAGATGCTTAAGGAACACGAGAGACGGCGTTATCTGGAGTCACTGGGAGAGGAGCAGAGAAAGGAGGCAGAGAGGAAGCTGGAAGAGCAACAGCGCCGGCACCGCGAGCACCCCAAAGTCAACGTGCCTGTGAGGACCCCCATTTGTGCCAACTTTACCACATCCAGCTCAAACCCAAGACAAGAAAGCGGTTGAAGAACTACAACTCCCAGAAGCCATAGAGGCAAAAACTCCCTGTTATTGTACCCTGCTGCCCCAGGGGCTGCTGGGAGTTGTAGTTTTCTTAGTTTTCTTGCTTGAGCGAGATGATTGGTTTGTTGGATGGGGGTAACGGGATATTTGGTTTTATCCCGTGGCATCCAGACTTCTTGCTCATGAGCTCCTTGCTCTCCCCTCCACAGGGCAGCCAAGCCCAGTTGAAGGAGGTGTGGGAGGAGCTGGATGGACTGGACCCCAACAGGTTTAACCCCAAGACCTTCTTCATTCTGCATGGTAAGGTGGGGAGGGAGTTCCAGAGCCAGGATGAACCCTGAGACTCTGACCCTTCTGGGACCTGAATGCTAAGAGGGGTGTGTCTGTCCCAGGAGGGCTCAGTCAGGCTGAGAGAGCTGAGCCTCGGCCTCTCCCTGCTGTAAGGCTATGATCTGCATAGAAGGGTTGGGCCACTTTTCTTGCAAACACCAGATTTCAGGGTTCTACGGACCACCTGGTGTCCACTGTCTGAGCAAACCAGGCTTGGCTAGGCCTGAATTCCCTCCCACAGCAGCCCTGGTCCCCTCTGGGAGCCCTGTTGACAGGAGTGGGCTGTTCCCTAAGAATCGGGCCTCCAGAAGCCTGGAAAGCCTTTTCTCTTTTTCTTCTTTTTCTTTTTTTCTTTTTTTTTTTTTTTTTTTGAGACACAGTTTTGCTCTGTCACCCAGCCTGGAGTGCAGTGGTGCAATCTTGGCTAACTGCAACCTCCGCCTCTCAGTTCAGGCAGATCTCCTACCTCAGCCTCCTGAGTGGCTGGGACTACAGGCACGCACTACCACGCCCAGCTAATTTTTTTGTATTTTTAGTACAGACAGGGTTTCACCATGTTGGCCAGGCTGGTCTTGATCTCTTGCCCTCAAATGATCCGCCTGCCTTAGCCTCCCAAAGTGCTGGGATTACAGGTGTGAGCCACTGCACCCAGCCTTCTTTTTATTTTTTGATAGTCTTGCTCTGTTGCCCAGGCTGGAGTGTAGTGGTGTGATCTTGGCTCACTGCAACCCCTACCCTCCACCTCCCTGGATCAAATAATTCTCCTGCCTCAGCCTCCCGAGTAACTGGGATTACAGGCATGCACCACCATGCCTGGCTAATTTTTGTATTTTTTTTTTTTTTTTCTTTTTTTTTTTATTCGGAGGTTTCTCTTTTGTTACCCAGGCTGGAGTGCAATGGCGCGATCTCGGCTCACCGCAACCTCCGCCTCCTGGGTTCAGGCAATTCTCCTGCCTCAGCCTCCTGAGTAGCTGGGATTACAGGCACGCGCCACCATGCCCAGCTAATTTTTTGTATTTTTAGTAGAGACGGGGTTTCACCATGTTGACCAGGATGGTTTCGATCTCTTGACCTCGTGATCCACCCGCCTCGGCCTCCCTAAGTACTGGGATTACAGGCTTGAGCCACCGCGCCCGGCCAATTTTTGTATTTTTAGTAGAGGTGGGTTTTCACCATATTGGCCAGGCTCATCTAAAACTCCCAACCTCATGTGATCTGTCCGACTTGGCCTCCCAAAGTGCTGGGATCACAGGCGTGAGCCACCATGCCCAGCAGAAAGCCCTTTCTCTATGGTGGATCAAAGGCACACATCCCTCAGTCTGTCTCTTCCTGTCTGGAAACGTGATCTGGGTCTGCCAAGACCCCTCAGGTATGCCCAGCACCCTGTCCCAGAATCTGCAGCCTGTCAGAAGAGCTTAGCAAGGCCTAACTCATTCATTCAGTAAATCTTCACTAAGCTCTCTCTAAGGACCAAGCTTTCTGAAGACCTTGTGGATACAACTGTCAATAAAAGAAAGTACCTCCCCTCAGGGCAAGTGATCAGGCACACAGATCATACCATACTGTACTAACTCCAAGAGACTGTAGAGCATGAGAGGTGCTAGCACTTTACAGAAGCTGCCAATTGAACTAATGTACCATTGAAAATAAGATGCAAGCCGGGCACGGTGGCTCAAGCCTGTAATCCCAGCACTTTGGGAGGCCGAGGCGGGTGGATCACGAGGTCAAGAGATCGAGACCATCCTGGTCAACACGGTGAAACCCTGTCTCTACTAAAGCTACAAAAAATTAGCTGGGCATGGTGGCGCGTGCCTGTAATCCCAGCTGCTCAGGAGACTGAGGCAGGAGAATTGCCTGAACCCAGGAGGCGGAGGTTGTGGTGAGCCGAGATTGCGCCATTGCGCTCCAGCCTGGGTAACGAGCGAAACTCCGTCTCCAAAAAAAAAAAAAAAAAAAAAGAAAATAAGATGCATCCGGGGCTGGGTGCAGTGGCTCACACCTGTCATCTCAGCACTTTGGGAGGCCAAGGTGGAACATTGCTTGAGCCCAGGAGTTCAAGACCAGCCTGGACAACAAAGTGAAACCCAGTCTCTATTAAAAAAAGAGAGAGAGAGAGACGCTGGGTGGGATGGCTCACACCTAGAATCCCAGCACTTTGGAAGGCAGGTGGATCACCTGAGGTCAGGAGTTCAAGACCAGCCTGGCCAACATGGTGAAGCTCCGTCTCTACTAAAAGTAGAAAAATTAGCTGGGTGTGGTGGCAGTCACCTGTCATCCCAGCTACTCGGGAAGTTGAGGCAGGAGAATCGCTTGAACCTGGGAGGCGGAGATTTCAGTGAGCCGAGATCGTGCCATTGTACTCCAGCCTGGGCAACAAGAGCAAAACTCCGTCTCAAAAATAAATAAATAAATAAATAAAAATAAAGATGCATCCCTATTTCAGGGGTGATAAAATAGAAAAAGGTACATCTTAGAATTAGTGAAGGTTCTAGACCGGATGCGGTGGCTCACGCCTATAATCTCAGCACTTTGGGAGGTCGAGGCGGGTGGGTCACCTGAGGCCAGGGATTGGAGACCAGCCTGGCCAACATGGCGAAACCCCATCTCTATTAAAGATACAAAATAAAGTAAATAAAAATACAAAAATTAGCCAAGTGTGGTGGCGCCCACCTATACTCCCAGCTACTTGGGAGGCTGAGGCAGGAGAATCGGCTGAACCCCGGAGGCAGAGGTTGCAGTGAGCCAGGATCACATTGCTGCACTTCAGCCTGGGCGACAGAGCAAGACTGGGATTACAGGCGTGAGCCACTAAGCCCAGCCCCTACATTTTCTTTATGCTTTTTTTTTTTCTTCGACATGGAGTTTAGCTCTTGTTGCCCAGGCTAGAGTGCAATGTTGTGGTCTTGGCTCACTGCAACCTCCACCTCCCGGGTTCCAGCAGTTCTCCTGCCACAGCCTTCCCAGTAGCTGGGATTACAGGCCTGTGGCACCACACATGGCTAATTTTTTGTATTTTTAGAAGACACGGAGTTTCTCCATGTTGGTCAGGCGGGTCTTGAACTCCCAACCTCAGGTGATCCATCCGGCTCAGCCTCCCAAAGTGGTGGGATTATAGGCATGAGCCACCGCATTAGGCCATATTCTTTATTCTTAATTTGAATGTAAACAGTCCATGTAGCTAGTGGCTACCGTGTTGGACAGCGCAGATCCAGAGTTTAGACAGAGGACGGTTCCCCAGGCCTGAGCCCTATGCCACACTAGCATGTCGAAGTCAGGAAGAGGATGGAGCCGGACAAGGAGACAAAGGGGCAGCCAGAGAGGACAGAATCATGTTCTGTAAGCCAAGGGCAGAAAGTCAAGTCAGGTGTAGGTGGAAAATCATCCACTGGATTTGCAAGATCAGGGTTCCCAGCCTCCTCCCCAGGAGCAGGTTGTGTTCATCTGAGGGAGCCGAAGAAGGAGGAGGGCCAGTGGTGAGGACAGTGAGTGTGGCCGACTCAGCCTGGAGCCCTGCAGCTGTGAGTGGTGTATTGGCAGCAGAGGCTCCCCTGGCGCTTGGAGTTGGCACTGGCCTGGTTTTCTGGGAGCCAGAGGTCCCTGATAACCTTGGAGCTGACTCTGTGCCCAGAACATTGGATGCCAGGGCCAGAGAATCCTGCATGACAGTGACCCAAGCATGTTTCTGCAAATCCCACCCCTCATCTGTTCCATTCTCAGCACCCTGCTTGCTAGGCAGTGGCCCTAGCAACGGACCTAGTGGGGTGGGAAAGCCTGAGGGCTACCGTTCCACTGTGGGAGACCCGTAGTTACCTGTCCTCTGATAACAGACTCCACCTCGGCCGAAAATTTCTTCACCTGGGACCTGATGCGCCTCGTCCTCGGTCCCCCAATACCTTGCTATCTTCTTCCCTTCAGATATCAACAGTGATGGTGTCCTGGATGAGCAGGAATTGGAGGCCCTCTTCACCAAGGAGGTGAGCATCTTAGAAGCCTCGGGCACCTGGACGGATGCCCACCCAGACGAGCCACTTGCTGCTTCTTAGCCATCCCTTTAAATCCCCCTGGATGGGAGCTCAGTGAAAACTACAACTCCCATCAGCCCCTGGGGCAAAAATGGCTTCCAGAAATGTTGGCGTGCCCAAAGGACTGCTGGGAGTTGAAGTTGTCGGGTTGTGAGTCTGAGGAGGAAGGGGTAGCCTGGGAATGAACTCGCCTGGGACCACTCAATGCCGGCTGCCTCTCACTTGCCCCTGCAGCTGGAGAAGGTGTACGACCCAAAGAATGAGGAGGACGACATGCGGGAGATGGAGGAGGAGCGACTGCGCATGCGGGAGCACGTGATGAAGAATGTGAGAGGGGGTGCCAGGTGGGGGAGAAGACTGGGCCGCAGCTCTGTCACTCACCCTTATCTGGCTCCCCAGGTGGACACCAACCAGGACCGCCTCGTGACCCTGGAGGAGTTCCTTGCATCCACTCAGAGGAAGGAGTTTGGGGACACCGGGGAGGGCTGGGAGGTGAGGACCTGGGGATACTCGGGGTCCTGAACCTCTAGCCACGACCTTTCTTTCAGAGTCTCAGGCCCCTTCTCTTTCCCTCTGGATCTCCGGCCAGTCTCCTGGGTCACTGTGTCCCCCTCTCTGGGTCTTTGTTGTTTCTTTTCTTTTCTCTTTTTTTTTCTTCCTTCCTTCCTTCCCTCCCTCCCTCCCTCCCTCCCTCCCTCCCTCCTTCCTTCCTTCCTTCCTTCCTTCCTTCTTTCTTTTTTTTTGAGACGGGGTCTTGCTCTGTCTTGTAGGCTGGAGCTCAGTGGTACAATCTTAGCTTACTCCAACCTCCACCTCTTGGATTCAAGCGATCCTCCCACCTCAGCTTCCTGAGTAGCTGAGATTACAGGCATGTGCCACCACATCCAGCTAATTTTTGTATTTTTTTTAGAGATGGGGTTTCGCCATGTTGGCCAGGCTGGTCTCGAACTCCTGACCTCAGCTGATCCTTCTGCCTCAGCCTCCCAAAGTGCTGGGATTACAGGTGTGTGTCACCACGCCCAGCTAATTTTTTTATTTTTTGGTAGAGACAGGGTTTTGCCATGTTGGCCAGGCTGCTCTCAAACTTCTGGACTCAAGCTGTCCACCTGCCTCAGCCTCTCAAAGTGCTGGGACTACCCAGGCTGGAGTGCAGGGGTGTAATCATGGCCCATGACAGCCTCAAAGTCCTATCCTCAAGTGACTCTCGTGCCTGAGCCTCCCTATTAGCTGGGACTATAGGCACATGCCAGCATGCCCAGCTTATCTGAGTCATTCTTTTTATTTATTTACTTCTTGATTTATTTATATTTTTTGAGACAGGGTCTCCTCTGTCACCCAGGCTACAGTGCAGTAGAGTAATCATAGTTCACTGCAGCCTTGAATTCCTGGGCTCAGCCCCAGCTAATCTAGGTCTCTCTTTTATTTATTTATTTATATATATTTTTTCAAGATGCCCAGCTAATTTTCTATAGAGACAGGGTCTCGCTCTGTTGCCCAGGCTGGCCTTGAACTCCTGGCCTCAAGCGATCCTTCCCACCTTGGCCTCCCAAAGTCCTGGGATTATAGGGGTGAGCCACAGTACCTGGCCTTGCCTCTTCGTCTGTATTCCACTCCCACCTCCCACTTGGGCCTCTCTGCCCACGCACTCGGCCCTAGCCTCCCAGCCTCCTCTACACCACCCACATTGGTATAGTCCTCTCCAGTGTGAGTGGCCGAGGTTGGACCTGTGCCCTGATGGTCCCTGTGCCCACCCTGCAGACGGTGGAGATGCACCCTGCCTACACCGAGGAGGAGCTGCGGCGTTTCGAGGAGGAGCTGGCTGCTCGGGAGGCAGAGCTGAACGCCAAGGCCCAGCGCCTCAGCCAGGAGACAGAGGCTCTAGGGCGGTCCCAGGGCCGCCTGGAAGCTCAGAAGAGAGAGCTGCAGCAGGTGACAGCAGGGGAAACTGCTTCCATTTCCATCTGCTGAGCCTCTGGCTACCCTTGTCCATGTCCCCACGGGTGTCTAGAAGCTGGGAAGGCTTGTGGCCACCATGTTAATCACTGGGGGAGTCTCGAGTGTTTGCCCCCATACTGAGTAAGGGCAGATGCTTTCCTTCTCTGACAGCTCTGTGGCTGCCATGTTAGATAAGGGCAGTAAGGCTGTAAGTGACGAGGGAAAGGCCCAGGAGCGGAGGAAGGGCAGACTGAGCCAGGGCTGGGCGAGGGCTTCCCTGTCCCACCGCAGGGCCCATGCCATGATAGGAGGGAGAACTAGATCCTTGACTATCACTAAGCCCGACTGTCAATGAAAGAAAAACAGGCCCATGGAGAAGGGATTGGCCAGTGACCACTTAGCAGGTGGCTGTGAAGTCTCAGTTTGGGGGCTGAAGCCCGAGCACTTGCAATGCCAACATCACACCCTCTTGTCTGTGCGACCCCCACCTCCCGCAGGCCGTACTGCACATGGAGCAGCGGAAACAGCAGCAGCAGCAGCAGCAGCAAGGCCACCAGGCCCCGGCTGCAGACCCCAAGGGGAGGCTCAAGTTCCACCCAGACACAGGTGCGGCCCTGGCCCGGGGAGGAGGGGCTACAGGGCTATAATTCTGGGGTCTGAGGTTGGAGGGGCTGGGGCCTGGACTCCCAGATCTGAGGGAAGAGGGGCTGGGACCTGGACTCCTGGGTCTGAGGGAGGAGGGGCTGGGGGCTGGGACCCATGGATGTGAGGGAGGAGGGGCTGGGCCTCCAGGAGCCTGGGGGAGGCGGAGTTGGGATGTCCTGTGCCACCATTCCCTCCCTCCATTTCCAGACGATGCACCCGTCCCAGCTCCAGCTGGTGACCAGAAGGAGGTGGACACTTCGGAAAAGAAAGTTCCTGAGCAGCCCCCTGAGGCTGAGGTGCCCCAGCCAGATTCCCAGCATCTGTGAGCCTCCAGACCCCAGCCCTCTGGACTCCTGATGCTCCAAGGCGGCTGATGGTGCTGGATGAAGTGGCACAGTCAGCTTCCGTGGGGGCTGGCACCGTGTGGGCCTGCTGGGGGGGGGCGGCGCGGGCTGGCATTTCACGCATCGCTGCTGCCCCGGGTCCACCTGTCTCCACTTTCACAGCCTCTGAGTCTGTGGTCCTTCCCTTCTGTCCTCTGAGGGGCCTGCCTTCTCTCGTGTCCAGTAGGCGCTCTGTGATCAGCTTAACTTAGGGAAGCACCCTCCCCTTCTCATCTGTCCCAAGAGGGTCTGCTCTGAGCCTGCGTTCCTAGGTGGCCCTGGCACCCTGTATGCACACAGCTACTGGAGTCTACTGGAGTCCTGCCTGCTGCTCCGGGCCAAGCTTCTGATTGATTAACAGGGGCATGGGGTGGTCCCTCGAGACCTTCCCCTACCTTTTGTGGGACCAGTGATACCTCTAAGACAGCATCCCCTCTACAGCTGGGTGCCAGAGGTAGGGGATCCTCAGTGTAGCCGGCGAACCGTGATACCAGGAGCCCAGGCCTCCCTGAGCCCCTGGCTTCCAGCCAGTTCATTGCCAGCCTCCTCCTGGACTCCAACCCCTTCCCCACAGCCCCAGAAGGGTCCCAGACCCCACTCCAGGACCTGGTCCCAGCCCCTCAGCCTCATCTGCAGACCCTGGAGGCCGTTCCCGCCCACCTTTCTGGCCCCATGTCACACTGCTCTGCTTCCTGCTCCATGCTCCAGTACCACCTAAATATACCTTCTGGAACAAATGCATGGCCCTGTGCCTGTGTATCTGTACCGGTCCCTCCGAAACCCTGTTACCACGTCACCTGCCAGAGTCCCCACCTTTGAAGAACTGATTCAGCATCACTTCTGTGAGGCCTAGTCCTGGCATCTTTCCGTCTGCCCCGATGTGGCTGCAGCCTTCACCTAGGGCCCCTTCAGCAGCCACAAGGACAGAAAACCCAAACCTGGGATTAAGCTTTCTTTTTTTTTATTTTGAGCCGGAGTCTTGATCAGTCACCAGGCTGGAGTGCAATGGTGCGATCTTGGCTCACTGCAACCTCCACCTTTCCAGCTCAAGTGATTCTCCTGCCTCAGCCTCCCACATAGCTGGGACTACAGATGTTTGCTACCATGCCTAGCTAATTTTTGGTGTGTTTGTTTTGTTTTTGAGACAGAGTCTTGCTCTATTGCCCAGGTTGGAGTGCAGTGGCGCAATCTCGGCTCACTGCAGCCTCTGCCTCCTGGGTTCAAATGATTCTCCTGACTCAGCCTCCTGAGTAGTTGAAATTACAAGCACACTCCACCATGCCCAGCTCATTTTTTGTATTTCTTGTTTTTTTTTTTTTTGAGACGGAGTTTCACTCTTGTTACTCAGGCTGGAGTGCAATGGCACGATCTCGGCTCACCGCAACCTCCGCCTCCTGGGTTCAGGCAATTCTCCTGCCTCAGCCTCCTGAGTAGCTGGGATTACAGGCACGCACCACCAAGCCCAGCTAATTTTTTGTATTTTTAGTAGAGACGGGGTTTCACCATGTTGACCAGGATGGTCTCGATCTCTTGACCTCGTGATCCACCCGCCTCGGCCTCCCAAAGTGCTGGGATTACAGGCTTGAGCCACCGTGCCCGGCCATTTTTTGTATTTCTAGTAGAGACAGGGTTTCGCCATGCTGGCCAGTCTGGTCTCGAACTCCTGACTTCGTGATCCGCCTGCCTTGGCCTCCTAAAGTGCTGGGATTACAGGCACAAACCATTACGCCTGGCAATTTTTGTATTTTTGTTTAGTACAGGTGGGGTTTCACCATATTAGCAAAGCTGGTCTCCAGCTCCTGACCTCTTGATTTGCCCACCTCGGCCTCCCAAAGTACTGGGATTACAGATGTAAGCCTCTGAGCCCAGTCAGATTAAGCAATTTTTAAAAGTGAATTTGTCTGGGTTCCTGTGGCTCACGCCTATAATCGCAACACTTTGAAAGGCCGAGATGGGTAGATCACTTGAGGCCAGGAGTTCAAGACTAGCCTGGTCAACATGGCGAAACCCTATCTACTAAAAAAGATTAGCTGGGCATGGTGGTGGGCATTTGTAATCCAACTACTCTGGAGGCTGAGACAGAAAAATTGCCTGGGAGGTGGAGGTTGCAGTGAGCCAAGATTGTGCCACTGCACTCCAGCTTGGGTGACAGAGCAAGACTCTGTATCAAAGAAAAAGGAGAATTTGCTAGGTATGGTGGCTCCACCTATAATCCCAGCACTTTAGAAGGCAGAGGCAAGAGGATCACTTGAGCCTAGGAGTTTGAGACCAGCCTGGGCAACATAGCGAGACCCCGCCTCTAAAAAAAGAAAAAAAATTAGCTGGTCAGGGTAGTGTGTGCCTGTAGTCTCAGCTACTTGGGAGGCTGAGGTGGGAGGAATCCCTTGAGCCCGGGAGTTTGAGGCTGCAGTGAGCCATGATCAATCACCCTGCTGCACTCCAAGCTGGGTGACAGAGTGAGACCCTGTTTCCCAGAAAAAGATTAAAGAGTAAATAAAAGTGACTTATGACAAAAACCAAGCAGTCTCATGGCAGGCTGACTTCAGGGAGCCAGGTTCTGACAACCCGTAGCTGTGCCAATGATAGGTTTGGCGGCTGGACTCACGGTCCAAGCATAGCTGCAGCTGCTCCAGACATCACCAACAACCAGCGAAGGAAGAGGACGTATCCCGTTCTAAGTATTTTAAGTGGGAGAAAAATCTGTCCCCAAAGCCCCCTCTCCTTTCAGCCCTCCCTCGTGTTCCCTCACCTCCCACTGGCTGTAGGTGGCTGTGGGCGATACATCTTGTGATGGATATAACAGCAACAAGGGTCGTTCTGGAGGAGAGGCTGGTAAATATGTGCTTCTACATAAAGAGTAACACATCCACTAGATATTTGGGAGGCATTCCCAGATTCGGGGTTAGTCAGGCTGGGCACAGTGGCTCATGCCTGTAATGCCAGCATTTTGGGAGGTCGAGGCGGGAAAACTGAGCCCAAGAGTTTGAGACCAGCCTGAGCAACACAGTGAGACCTCGTCTCTTTTTTTTTTTTTTTTTGAGACAGAGTCTCGCTCTTGTTGCCCTTGTGGCACAATGACTCACACCTGTAACCCAGCAATTTGGGAGGCCACAGCAGGTGGATCGCTTGAGGTCAGGAGTTCAAGACCAGCCTGGCCAACATGGTAAAACCCCATTTCTTTCTTTTTTTTTTTTTTGGGACGGAGTTTCGCTCTTGTTACCCAGGCTGGAGTGCAATGGCGTGATCTCGGCTCACCGCAACCTCCGCCTCCTGGGTTCAGGCAATTCTCCTGCCTCAGCCTCCTGAGTAGCTGGGATTACAGGCACGTGCCACCATGCCCAGCTAATTTTTTGTAGTTTTAGTAGAGATGGGGTTTCACCATGTTGACCAGGATGGTCTCGATCTCTTGACCTCATGATCCACCCGCCTCGGCCTCCCAAAGTGCTGGGATTACAGGCTTAAGCCACCGCGCCCGGCCTTTTTTTTTTTTTTTTTTTACATGGAGTTTTGCTCTCGTTGCCCAGGCTGGAGTGCAGTGGCTGGCGTGATCTTGGCTCACCACAACTTCCGCCTCCCAGGTTCAAGCGATTCTCCTACCTCAGCCTCCCTGCCTCAGTCTCCCTAGTAGTTGGGATTACGGGCTAATTTTCTATTTGTCTAGCAAAGATGGGGTTTCTTGTTGGTCAGGCTGGTGTCGAACTCTTGCCCTAAGGTGATCTGCCTGCCTCAGCCTCCCAAAGTGCTGGGATTACAGGCATAAGCCACCGTGCACCGCCTGTGAAACCCCATTTCTACTAAAAATACAAAATTAGCTGGACGTGGTGGTGCACACCTGTAATCCCAGCTACTTGGGAGGCTGAGGCAGGAGAATCGCTTGAACCAAAGATGCAGAGGTTGCAGTGAGCCAAAATTGGGTCACAGTACTCCAGCCTGGGTGACAGAGCGAGACCCCGTCTCAAAAAAAAAAAGAAAAAGGACTGTGTTCTAGTGTAGGGGTAAGTGGATTGTTTTGGCCCGAACTCCAGAGGATCAAGGGAGACCGTTGCAGCTGCCCGAGGAATATTTGCTCTCCGGAGGGAAACACCCTATCCATTAAGTTGCCAGACCAACCCCTCCCCTTGGCTCAAAATTCTGGGAAATCCTGAATAATGTTTGCCATTGGCCTCTTACCAGCTCCAGTAGAAATGCGTCCGGCCAGACTATGCTTAATGGATAATCGGGCCAGGCTCGGTGGCTCATGCCTAATGCTTTGGGAGGCCAACATGGGAGGATCACTTCAGCCCAACAGTTGGAGAGCAGCCTGGACAACATGATGAGACTCCCATCTCTGCAAAAAAAAAAAAAAATTTTTTTTTTTTTGAGACGGAGTCGGGCTCTGTTGCCCAGCCTGGAGCGACAGAGTGAGAGACTTGATCTCAAATAAATAAATAAATACTGCAAAAATATATATATATACCTGCCTGCCTGCCTGCCTGCCTTCCTTTCTTCCTTTTTTATTTTTAAAAAAAGATGAGGTTTCACTATGATGGCCAGTCTGGTCATGAACTCCTGACCTCAGGTGATCCACCCACCTTGGCCAGGCTGGAGTGCAGTGGCATGATCATGGCTCACTGCAGCCCAGAAAACGTTTCTTCTGGCCGGGTGAGGTGGCTCACACCTGTAATCCTAGCACTTTGGATGCCTGAGGCAGGCAGTCACAAGGTCAGGAGCTTGAGACCAGCCTGACCAACATGATGAAACCCCGTGTCTACTAAAAATACAAAAATTAGCTGGGCGTGGTGGTGCACACCTGTAATCCCAGCTACTCAGGAGGCTGAGGCAGGAGAATTGCATGAACCGGGAGGTGGAGGTTGCTTTGAGCCAAGATTGTGCCACTGCACTCCAGCCTGGGCTGCAGAGTGAGAATCTATCTAACCAAAAAAAAAAAAAAAAAAAGAAGAAAAGAAAAGTGCCAGGGTTATAGGCCTGAGTCACTGTGCCCAGCCGGTTACTATAATTTTATAGTGAATTTTGAAGTCAGGTAGTGTGATGCCTTCAGGTTTTTTTTTTCTTTAAATAGAGACAAGGTCTCACTATATTGCCCAGGCTGATCTTGAACTCCTGGCCTCAAATGATCCTCCTGCCTCAGCCTCCTAAACTGCTGGGATTTACAGACATAAGCAACCACGCCTGGCCTGTGATGCCTCCAGCCTTGTTCTTTGTGCTCAGGATGGTTTAGGCTATTCAGGCAGTCTGTCAATGTTTAACGGTAACTATTTGTTCTGAAATAATTGAAGACTTACAAGAAGTTGCAAAAATAGTACAGAATGTTCCCACGTGCCCCCTCCCTGCCTTCCCTCCAATGATGGTATCTTATCTGACTGTAGCACATGGTCACAAGCAGGAATTGTTACGGCTACAATACTTTTTAATCGGGTACAGGCCTTACTGAGGTTTCACCAGGACTTACTTGGGTTCAAATGCACTTTTGAAAATTTTGGGTGTCTATTTCTTTCTTTTCTTTTTTTTTTTTTTTGAGACACAGTCTCACCCTGTCACCAGGCTGGAGTGCAGTGGTGCAGTCTCAGCCTACTGCAACCTCCACCTCCTGGGTTCAAGCGATTCTCCTGCCTCAGCCTCCCGAGTAGCTGGGACTATAGGTTTCCGCCACCATGCCCAGCTAATTTTTGTACTTTTAGTAGAGATGGGGTTTCACCATGTTGGCCAGGATGGTCTCGATCTCTTGACCTTGTGATCCGCCCGCCTCGGCCTCCCAAAT